TGACGTGGGGACGTTTCTGCCGACCAAACTCTTTCCTTTTCGCCATGGTCCTCGGACTGGGCTCCGATCTCTCTCTTCTTTACGAGTTTATCTAGTTGTCCGGCTAGAATAAGCCTCTCCAAGCACTTCTTTAACATATAACTCTCATCAGTTTCATGAGTGTCGCTTTTGTGCAATTTGCAATACTTTCTTCGGGTAATCGGGTGGCATGGCCGGTGATAACGTCATATGTGTTGGCAACGATACCTAGCCCTGTTTGGTGGCGTAATCCAGGGTTGTGCTCTCTGGATGTGTCAATGGGAAGAATTCCGACTGACTGGATAATGGTCCATCAGGTACCCCTGACTTACCTTTGCTCCAGCTCTTCTTCTTGCTTTTGAACCCACTTCGCTTATCTGGATCATGGGCTTCTTTCTCGTTGTTCTTCTTTTTCCCATCACTCACTTGAGGTTTACATCCTCTTCTTCCCTTTTTCATTTTTCAGTTTCCTCCACCTCTGCTTGCAGATCGGCCCGATGTAGGGCCTCCTCATGCGAGGTTGGAGGTTGTCGTATGAATTCTTAATGCATTTCACCCGAACTCAAGGCATTAGTGAAGATGGCACTCCCTTATCGTGTAGGCCGTCAACCTTTACTGATCCATCCTTACAATGGGCTAGGAAGGTGGTTATTAAGGTCTCCTTGCGCCCCTGCTTGACTCCCAGGAAGGTGAGAGAAATTCTTCTTGGAATCCTCCGAACTGGCAAATCGCGCGATGAACGCTTAGGCTAACTCCCGTAAATTCGGTATCCTTCCGTCAGGCAAGGAATCATACCATTCACGGGCTGGCCCATCTAAGGTTACAAAGAATCCTCAACATCTAATCACATCTTCGTAACCCATCATTACCATGTAGGCCATATATCTGGAGACATGGTGCCGGGGGTCAATATTTCGAACCATTTACATTGAAATAAATGTGAGTATTTATACTACAAGGTACTAGGTGGGGGAGGTGATGTGGCATTTCCTGATTGCTTGACCCCCAACCAGTGGCGGATCCAGGAAACGGAGCTATTGGGGGCTGAACAAAAATAGCGTGCATGAAAAACACAACCAAATATACCCGAATAGTAAAAATTGTAATAAAATACACCCAAATTTCATAACTAAATAAAGTATATTACAATATATAAAAAACCTAAAAAATGTAATTAATTCTTTGATAACTAATGTACTTTTTGTCTTTATATATCTTAAACCTTCTCCTAGAGTGGTAGGTATGCAAAAATTATGAGCCCGTTTGGTAACACTTAAATTAACTGAATCGGTTGATTCTGCTGAAATTTATGAAGGTCTGGCTGAAGTGGCTGGATTAGCCGATTATGCAAATTTATGAAAAAATAAAAATATAAGAGTATTTTATTAAAATAATGACGAAAAATTTATATAAATAATAACTAAAATGGTCGTCTACAATAACTTCAGTCAATCTAGCCAGAAAAATAAGTCCAACCTCACTTATTACATCATTCAGCACACGAAATCAATGGTTACGTGTTTGGTAAATAAGTTGGCTGATAAGACGAAAAATAGGTTCACCAAACGGGTTGTATATTTTATATATATGGCTTTCTTAATTTGTCTCTTTATATATCTTAAAACCTTCTCCAAGAGTGATAACTATGTAAAAATTATACTATGTATGTATTACTCCGTATTTTATACTAGCTCCGTCCTGGAAACAAGTTCTCACTTTCCTTATTTGGATGTCCTATAATAAACTTCTCTTTTCCTTATTTGGAAAATTATCTACATCAAAATAGTGCAAAACAGTGTCAAACAGTGCCAAACAGTGTTGAAACAGTGTCAAAACAGTAAAATTTACCCATTAGTAACTTTATTTCCTTAAAATGTGTGAAAGTCAACCCGGGGAACTTGTTTTCAGGACGAAGAGGGTATGACTTTCGTAATCCTTAAATCGTAATTCTTAAATTTTAAATGTTAACAATTTAACACAAATACACCATAACACTTTAAGGCATACTAATAATACAATAATCAAAACTCAATACTTCAATAGTCAAATTACTCAAATACGGAGTAGTTAATACTCAATAATACACTTCCTTTACTTCATTTGCATTTTTATTGGGGGCAATTCTATGTAATAAACATTTTCCTACTATAATATAGGGGATTATTGGGAGTTTATTGGGGGCATCAGCCCCCCATAGTGTAGTTATGCATCTAAAGTGTATAAACGGAAAAGAATAAAACTGTGTTTTGAGGGAATTAATCGACCTGCTTATTCCATAAGCCTGTATATATACAACAATTACTTACTATGTATATCTCCTAAAGTTTCTCCTAGTTAATATATAAAAGATATACAAGATGTACACAAGCCAAAAGATAAGGTAACATATATACAAAAAATATATTCTAGCCTAATACCCCCCTCAAGTTGGAGCATGAAGGTTCGAAATGCCCAACTTGGCAAGTAGAAATTGAAACTGACGACGTCCAAGAGCTTTAGTCAATATGTCAGCCAATTGGGAGGAGGTATGAACGTAAGCAGGAGCGATTGTATGACGGAGAATCTCATCACGAACAAAATGACAGTCGATTTCAATATGCTTAGTGCGTTCATGAAACACTGGATTGTTTGCAATATGTAAAGCAGCCTGACTATCACAATGCAAAGGTACGGGAGAGGAATGAACAATGCCGAGACTGGTCAATAAACCCTTTAACCAGAGGATTTCACAAGTAGCAGACGCCATGGCGCGATATTCAGCCTCAGCAGAAGAACGAGAGACTGTAGCTTGCTTTTTAGTCTTCCAAGATATAGGAGAACCACCAAGAAAAATAAAATATGCTGTGAGAGAACGTCTGCTTAAAGGACAAGTGGCCCAATCAGCATCGCAATACGCAGTGAGAGAGAGATCGGCTGAAGCTCATAACAAAATACCCTAGCCAGGATTAGATTTTAAATATCGAACAACACGTAAGGCGGCTTCCCACTGAGACCGTGTGGGGTGCTGCATAAATTGAGATAAAATATGCACGGAGTAACAGAGCTCGGGACGAGTAATAGTGAGATAGATAAGTCGTCCGACTAAACGACAATATTTAGCAAGATCCTCAAGAGGTTGGTCGCAAGCAAGAGCAAGAGAATGATTTTCTTCCATAGGAACGCTAACGGGCTTGGCCCCAAGAAGACCAGTCTCAGTAAGGATATCAAGAGCGTATTTCCTTTGGCAAAGGAAAATACCACTAGAGTTCCGAGCAACCTCTAAACCAAGGATATATTTGAACTTTCCAAGGTCCTTCATACGAAAGCATGTACTAAGATAAGCTTTGAATGTGACAATGGAAGCACTATCATATCCAGCAATTACAAGATCATCAACATAAACTAGAATGCTCATAGAAATAGATCCTTTGTGATAGACAAATAAAGAGTGATCAGATGGACTATTATGAAACCCATATAATCGCAAAGCATGAGCGAGTTTAGCATACCAACACCTCGGAGCCTGTCGCAAACCGTACAAAGACTTGCGCAGACAACAAACCTTCCCCGGAGGACCAATATGAAAGCCTGGAGGAAATTTCATATAAACTTCCTCATCTAGATCGCCATGAAGAAAGGCATTATGGACGTCCATCTGATGCAATTCCCATTGTTTGAAAGCGGCAACAGTAAGAAAAGTACGTACTGTAACCATCTTGACTGTGGGAGCAAAAGTTTCAATGAAATCAATACATCCTACTTGATGATTGCCAAAAACCACCAATCGGGCTTTGTACCGTTCAATTGTGCCATCGGACTTGTATTTAATACAGAAGACCCACATGCAGCCAATAGCGGTTTTACCTGGTGACAAGTCCTCAACGGTCCAAGTATTATTGTCTTCTAGGGCACGAACTTCTTCTTGCATAGCATGGCGCCAACGTGAGTCACGCATAGCATCTTTAAAGGAAGTGGGCTCCGTACTAGAAGTAATGGCTGCAAGAAAATGTCGATGTCCAAGAGAAAAAGTATTACAATTTACAAAATGCGCTATTGGATAGGGCGTACCTGAAGACCGAGAGAGCGAGGGTGTAGCAGCAGGGGGGTTAACTTGGGCAGTCAACGTAACAAAATCTCTATGACGAGTGTTGGGAAACTTTTGTCTTTTGCCACGACCCAAGTCATCAAAATTTACCAAGTTATTTTCCCTGCTGGCAGCCTCATTTTCAGGAGCAGAGGACTGATCTACATCAATGTTTTGTTCGGAAATAATAGGCAATGAGTGTTCCGAAGTCTGTGCAGAAGAAGAAGCCTGAGGTGGAGTCATGTCTGATGACTCAGCGGCTAGAATGGAGGCAAAAAGCGGACTGTCTGTGCAGTTATCAATTATGCATGCAGAGTCATCCATAGGAGTAGGTTCAGACAAGAGGTTTCCCGATGCAAAAGGAAAATTATTCTCATAAAAAATAACATCTCGGGAAGTAAAGTATTCTCCTCTCTCAAAGTCAAACAAATTCCAACCTTTCTTACCAAAAGGATACCCGATAAAAATGCAACGACGACTCCGACTAGCAAATTTATCAGTTGGAGACAATTCTTTGGCATAAGAAAGACAACCGAAAACACGAATAAGGCTAAGATCAGGTGAACGTCCAAACAAAAGCTCGTAAGGAGATTTGCCTTGCAAAATACGAGAAGGAGTCCGATTTATTAAATACGTTGCACTTAGTACACATTCTCCCCAAAAATCAATTGGTAAATTAGCTTGAAAATGCAAAGCACGCGCTACATTTAAAATGTGACGATGCTTGCGCTCAACTCGAGCATTCTGTTGAGGAGTTTTAACCATGGAGGTTTGATGAATAATCCCTTGCTCATGAAAATAAGTGCGTAAGGATATGAATTCTTTCCAATTATCACTACGAAATTTTTTTATCCTCTTGTCAAATTGTCTCTCAATTAGAGAGAAGAAATTACGTAACAATATAGATGCCTCACTCTTGGTTTTCATTAAATAGACCCTAACACTTCGCGAATAATCATCTACAATGGTAAGAAAGTAGCGTGAAGCACAAGAACGATTTTCACTATATGGTCCCCAAATGTCACAATGAATAAGATCAAACAAATTAGCAGCTCTACTTGTACTTAATGAGAAAGTAGAACGAGTTTGCTTAGCACGGTGACAAATATCACACGATTTATTAGCAAATTTTTTGATATTTTGTAGTTGACCACTAACTTGAGGCAAATATTCCAAAACTTGCAACGAGGGGTGTCCAAGCCGAGCATGCCATAAACCACTTGAGTCAAGAGAGAGTGCTTTGTTGACACGAACCGATTCCCCCATTGCCAAATAGAAGAGTCCCCCTGACTGCTCACCCACACCAATCTTGGTCATTGAGGCTCGGTCCTGTATCACACAATATGCATTAGTAAATTGAATACTAAATCTAGTGTCTTTGAGTAAAGTGGAGACCGACATCAAATTACAAGTGAACTCCGGTACAAATAAAACATTTTGTAACGTGAGATGTGCATTTATCCTTACACTCCCTTGCTTAGTAGCTTTAGTGGATGAGCCATTGGGAAGTCCAATATCAGTAGGTCTTATATCAATTAAAAAATTTAACAAGGAAGCATTACCACACACATGGTGCGAAGCACCTGTGTCAATAATCCAAAGGTATTTTGTCTTACCATTCAACCGAACTTCACCAAGATCAGTCCCAATGTCTCCTGTATGAGCCACATTGGCTTTTACTTGCTGTCCAGAGCCATTCATTCCAGAGTTTCTGCCTTTGGTGCGCCTCCGTTCAAGCCACCCTTCAGGAAAGGCGTGTTTAACAAAACAACGTTCCTCGGTGTGTCCCGTTTTTGAGCAGAAGTTGCACACCATGACTGGTCGGGTAGCCCCCCCGAACCATGGGCATGTGAAGCTCCACCTTTTATAGCAAAACTCATAGGATTAACACCCTCAATTTGACCTCCAGTAATAGTCCTCACCTCTTCCTCCTGGATTAAGCGTGAGTAGACCAAATTAAGGGATGGCAGTGGCTCAATCCCCAAGAGACTGGAGCGAACATTGGCATAAAATGACTCAAGACCCATAAGGAATTCACGAACTTGTTCAGCTTCACGCCATTGACGGAGTTTTGAGGTCAAGTCACACTTACAGCCTTTGCATACGCAAGTAGGAAGCGCATCAAAGTCGTTCCTATCATCCCATAGTTTCTTCAGCCTCCCATAGTAGCTCATAATAGTTTCTCCACTCTTTTGTTTGCAATCAGAGAGTTCTGCCTTTACTTGGTAGATTTTAACTCCATTGCCGACAGAAAATCGCTCCTTGATGTCCTCCCATAGATCACGAGCAACATCCCGGTAAGATATGGACGTTCGTAGAGCCGGATCAATGGTGTTAAAAATCCAAGCAACGATCATCGAATTTACAGTCCACCATTCGTCTAAATCAGCAGAAGTCTCATCTGGTTGCTTGAGTGTTCCGTCAAAGAACATTAATTTGCGTTTAGCACGCAGAGAGATACGAAAAGCTCTGCCCCATTCTTCGTAATTGTAACCTTTCAAGACGACATGGATAATCGTCGTCCCAGGGTTATCGCTAGGGCTGAGTGCGTAAATTGGATTTTGAGGGGAAGGAGTAGCCGTCGCTCTGCCGGCCATCGAAGGATTCGTTCGGCTAAGAATTCGCCGACTGCTCTGATACCATAAAGTGTATAAACGGAAAAGAATAAAACTGTGTTTTGAGGGAATTAATCGACCTGCTTTGTTTATTCCATAAGCCTGTATATATACAACAATTACTTACTATGTATATCTCCTAAAGTTTCTCCTAGTTAATATATAAAAGATATACAAGATGTACACAAGCCAAAAGATATGGTAACGTATATAAAATCTCTCCTATATGGTGAAATGCTCTTCCCACAATTTTTTGGTTTCTCGCCAATTCCTTGATAAGGCAAACTAATTGCGTGAATAATACAAGTGAGAAGGTTCCAAGTGTGGCACCTCATCCGTGACATCTCGTTAGGGGCATGTTGGGTGAGACGGGCATCTCATTTGAGCTTGACCGGGTTTTGAACACTTATGTAGGGCCCATTGTACTGATTAGGCCGCTGGAGGTATTATTTGGGTCTGCCTGTTTTGGACCCATGCCCCAACAGAGATATATGTTAAATTGTGGGGTAATATTATATGCATTGCAGTCTTTTTTCTTTCGTTCGGTTTTTAACCCAACGAGTTTTCCTTACAAGGATTTTAACGACCTAGTACATTATAATAATATGAGGTTAAATGTTGTACTCTTTTTTCCTTATCCCATTGTGAGTTTTCATAGTAAGGATTATACTGAGACCATTATTACTCATAAATAACTAGAAGATGGCCATTCAAGGGGAGTGTTAAAAATATAATTGAATTAGTCATCTTCTAGTTTTTTTAGCCCACTGAAAACCATCATATGATGGGGTAAGGGCTGGGGAACACCTTACCAATTTATTAGGGGAGAGATAAGGATACAAGGTAGGGGGACATCGAGCCAAAACCTACTGAAAGCAAAGCAAGATTACATAACATAGGGATAAGCAATGGCGTCAAATTTAAGAATGTTTTTAAAACTGGAAGATTCGACAGCAACTCCAAGGCTAATAGCATTAGCCGCAATATTAGCAGATTCTGGAATTTGACGTAAGAGGATTTGATGTAAAATCTTCCTAATGCAAGTGATAGAGTAGATCGATTCCCAATGATGCACGTACACAGTTTAGATTGATGGACTACAAGACCAATTGATTGGAGATCTCAATGATGGTTACGGTATGTCCGTTATGCCTGCAACAATTAAGAAAAAAGTGTAAGGCCTCAATGAAAGCTTTGTGCTTTCAGGTATTAAAGAGGCTTTGAAAAAGATGGGTGACCAATCTCCCATGGTTATTACTGATAAGTCTGATTTGTTCATATATTTTCACTCACTTTTTATAGCGTTTCTTGTTAAACTCAGGGCAAATTGATACATTTTTCTGCGTTTTCGTTACATTTTTGTTAATGTTTGAAATTAGTGTTGAAGTTTATGTTTTTTTTAGTAATTTGTGATTTATTGAAGTGTTTGGATTGTTTTTTTGAGGTTTTCTTTTACTTATTTGTGTTACTTGTATTTTGTGATTTATCAAATTTTAGAATTTATACATATTATATTTCAATGTTTTTTTATCAATAAACCAATGATGTTAAGAAAACAAAAAAAATGAGAAATAAAAAAAAATGCAGCAAGGCTGCGTGACAAAAAAAGAAAGGCAAACAAGAATAAAAAAATAAATGGAGTACAAGGAGTCAACAAAAAAAAGGAGAAGGGTGGGGAGTCCTATCTTTGGCCCAAGAGAGAAGAGATGGGCAGCTAGTTGTCTACTTAATAGCCAAAGAAAAAAACAGGGGAAGACACTCCTACTTGTCGGCAGTAGGAAAGAAAACTCCAGAAAATAAGCTGCAATCATTCAGCCACATATTATTTCCCAGCTACAATTCACATCCGTAGCATAGAGCAGGTCGCAATTCCAGAAGAGGAGCAAAAGAGGTCTTGAAAGAAAAAGCAAAAAAAAATGTAGATCCAAGAGGGCATATAAAGGAGCTAGCAGAGAAAGAAATACGCACACAGGAAAAGAAACTCAGCAATAGTCAATAGCAATTTCGGTTTACTCTTTATCATCTTTGAATTTCGATTCTTAAGGCTTTATGTTTGACTTCAGTTCTTAAAGCAGCTCTCATCTTTGAATTTCGAATTCCAGTTTAAATTCTTATGCATGGATTATGTCACTGTTTTTCAGTATTTGTGTTAATTTCTTGAAAATGATGTTAGGCTAAATTTCCATGGGGTTTGGATTTAGTTAAATTAAGGTTAATGGGTGTTCTTGAATATTGAATTGAATTTGAGAAAAGTCTCCAATTGTTAGGACTAAGTGTTTGAGATGAAATTGAAAGAGTAATTTGTGAATTTGATCGCTTCACTTGTGAATTTTTGGAAGGTTAATTCTATCTTGTCTATGAGTTTGGAATTAATTTAGCTCAAATCTCACACACCCTAATTAAGCCTAGAAATAGGACATTTTAGGGGATTAAAATTAATTTCTTGTCTATGAGAATTAATATATCACTATCCTTAGATTGATGAAAATTTTCCCTATTCGTTCATAATCATAGACACCCAAGACCTTGATTCCAAATTTAAACCCCACTTTTAATTAGTTAATTAATTGTTACTAGTCACATTGAATTTACCTTTTAGTATTTTATTTTCGAAACTTTACTCATCCACATTTTTGCTAGTTTAATATTTTCATTAGTTAAATTTCTCTCTCAATTTATTTTGCATGTTCACTAGTTTTAGTTTACTCAATAATGCCATTTAATTAAATTCGCAGTTATTACTTTTATTGTTTATTTTTATTTGGTTAATCATTATCACAATCTAATCGTTTGAGAAAGCTTACAATGACTCGTACTAACTGGTGACCGATATTGAAACCAATACTTCCCTCCGCCACTCCTCAGAGACACGATACTCGGGGATAAACTTTTCCATCCGGAAAGGTTAAACTCCGTTTTACTACAACGCCGCGAAAGCGGTTATCAAATGGCGCCGTTGCCGGGGAGTGGCACGGTTGTAAGTTGGTTTTTATTATTGGCATAGGCGAACCCGAGTTAGTGAGACTTTCTCCTTTATTTTCTGTTTTTTTTGTGTTGTTTTCTCAAGTTTGCAGGATCAATTTGTAAAATCTCTCTCTTTCAAACATGGCAAGTTGCTATCATTTGCTCTCTGCCTGAAAGAACATTATTGAGAGGGTTTGATAAAAAAAATCACCAGGATGAGGGAGAGGCAAACAGTGCTTGATGCTTTAACCTTGGACTTTTCTGAGGATGATAGCATCATTATTCCGCCAATCGATGCCACTGATTTTGAGATTAATCCTGATATCATACAAGTGATATCAATTAATCAATTTGGCGGTTTGAAACATGAAGATCCGATGGTGCATATGTTGTGGTTTAACAGAATCTGTAACACATTCCGGATCAATGAAGTGTCAATTGACATCGTGAAGCTTATCTTATTCCCATTCTCTCTTCGGGATAAGGCTATTCAGTGGGTGAATTCTTTTTCACCAGGTCACTTCACCACCTGGAATGCTCTTCACCGGGCATTCATGCATGAGTATTTTCCTCCATCGGCGGTTGCGCACATCAGAACATTAATTCAAAATTTTAAGCAAGCCCCGATGGAAACAATTAGTGAGGCTTGGGATCGATACAAGGTCTTACGGAGAAAGTGTCCTACACAGTTGATGGATGCTTATGACTTGATGTTCTATTTCTACTATGGACTTCAAGTTGTAAGTAAAAAAGAGTTGGACTGTTATTCAAAGGTGGGTTCTTTTCTCGACATGACACCAAAAGAGAGTGAAACACTCGTGGAGAATGTGGTATCAAATGCTAAGAACTGGTACTACGAGACAGAATCTTCTTCCAAGACTACACTTCAAGGCACCGATCAAATTTCAGCCCTCACAACAATAATTGACAACCTGGCAACTCAAGTGAAGAATCTCAACTCACGACCAAGTCGGGTCAACAAGCAGAATCATGTTGTATTGTTGTGGCAGTTCAGGAAGGTTTGGAGACTAGCACGGAGTCACCCATAATTGATGAAGAATTCACAGATGAGAGATGGACCTCCACTGAAAAACAAAGCTCAGTGGAACTACAGAATGAAACTGGAGAGATCTTTGAGCCAATTTCAGAGAAGGTGGAAGTGGGGGACATTTTGTGCAAAAGTAAAGTTGAAAAGGGAGAAATTCTGACATTATGTCTTGCTGAATTTGATGAAGCATCTCACGGAGAGGAGGAATCCGAAATGATCACAGTTGCATCTTGTGAAAAATTTAAAAAGAGAACTTCTGAGAAGATGAATGAAATTGAGGAGCTCCTTGATCTATTGTTGGAGACTTTGGATGTGGAAGTTGATGAAGAAGATGCACATGTTGAGGAAGAAACAAGCATGGAGGAGTCCATTGACTTTCTTCTTGATGTGCTTGAAACTAGTACATGGCTCAAAACAGTCCAGATTGAAGGGGATCTGGAGAATGAGGACGACTTTCCATATTTTATTTTGCCACCTGAAAATGAGAAAGATGCACAGGCCTTTGTTCTTGATTGTGAGTTTTTTATGAAACAGAGGTGGTACACAAGAAGAGTCCTGAGGGTCAAGCTGTATGATCCGAGAGTTGGAAAGTCAAGGAAAAAGTGGGAAAAAAAAACGTCAAGCTAGTGACGTTAAAGAAGCGCTTTTGGGAGGCAACCCAAGTGTTAAAAAAAGGAGGTTTAAAAAAATCTGCAAAAAAAAAAAACAAAAAAAATAATTAAAAAAAAACTGCATTAAAAAAACCAAAAAAAAAATATTTTCTTTTCCTTGTTTGTGTGTTAGTTTTAATTCATCATTATATTTTGTTTGCTTTAGCTTTTTCAGGTTAATCACCGGAGTTCCCCAATTGGATTAAATTTTCATTTGTGCTTGCTCTTTCAAATCTTCTTCAATGTTGAGCACAAGGGGAGTACTTCTTACTTTTCTCTATGAATTTTTACGCTCCACGTGTGTTTATTTGTGATTCATCTTAAGTGTGAGGAGAGTATGTTTGAAAAAAATTGTTTATTTGCCCTGTTTTATTTTGATTTTATTTGAGACCTCGAGGACGAGGTCTATTCTCTAAGTGTGAGGAGGGTTTAGAACAAGGCAATGGACTGATCTAATGTGCATGACAAGAGGCTCAGGTGAACTAAGTGACATTCATGTTATTTCCGTGTTTATAATTGTGTTTTTTATTAGTTTTGAGTGATTGTTACTCTAGAAATTACATACTTTTGGTGTAATAGTTTAGTTTGTAAAATGTTTGTAAATTGTTTAGATTAGGTTGGTTCTGAGCTCAAACAGGTCCAAGACCACTCTAGGGACCATTGGTAAACATCACAAATGGAAGGAAGGTGCAAAGATTTCAAGAAAAGATGAAGATTCTGATTTTTGGTAGTGTACCCGGTCGAGTATGCTCTATACCCGATCGGGTAAGTTGCTGAAAAGTCAAAATCGAATCAACCCGGGAACAAGGCAACATGCAGGAAGATTTTTAACTCGATCGCGTATCCATACCCGATCGGGTAGCCGACATACCCGATCGGGTACACGACCCTGCAGGCCTAAAAAGCCTATAAATACACCTCATTTCCTCCACAAGAGTACACGAATTCACATACACTCTTAAGCTCAGTTTAGAATAGCATTTCTTTATATTTCTTTTAGCATGTTTAGTCTCCAAATGAGGAGCTAAACTTCCATTTCTTGGTTTTGCTCTTGAAGCTTGTTGATTATTAAAGTTGTGAGTTATTTTCTTAACTTCTCCTCTTGATTATTAATTTTTCCCTTAATCTCACTCTATATCAATGTTGGAGGGTTGCTAAAGTGACGATTAGTTAACGTTTCGACATTGATTATTACTAGAAACGATCAACGAACCAATGGTTAATCGTTGATGGTTTCATAAGTAAGTAACTTCGGTTTATTAATGCACGGTCGTGGTTAATAAACTTAAGAGGGATTAATTTTGTTGGTTAAACCGAAACCGTTGTGTTGAGGTTATCAATCTTAATTGATTTCATCAAGGAGTTAAAAGAGGATTAAATGCTACTATTGTATCGATATATGGCGTTGTTCTATATTTGATTAATAGTAAGGGTTATTAATGAACGGTCGTTGTTAATAACTACCCTCGATGAATTGGATATACTCCTCGATTGAGTATTCGAGAGGGGATAAGTTATAGATATAACAATGATCGACTAAAATATATCAACAAGTGGAAAGTGGCAAGACCAAGTCCCTTTTATTCTTGAATTTAATTCCATATAAATCGTTCATCTTCGTGTTTAATTTAATTAAATCACTCAACAATCAAAAACCCCCTTCATTTACTATTTATATAAAAAGAAAGTTATTTCTTTCCCTGTGGATACGAACTCTACTTCACCTATACTACGTATAAGTGTTAGTATCGATTTATTTTGAGTGCACCCACGACAAAGTGCACGTCAAATTTGGCGCCGTTGCCGGGGAAGGTAATTAATTATTCTTTTTATTTTATTTAAAAAAAAAAAACAAGTATATATGGATTTCTATTTCTGCTGAGCTTTGTAGTATATGGTTAAATATCGTTCATTGAACGAAATCACCTACAAATCAAACCCCGAAATAGAACAAACTCTCGAGCGGTTGAAGAACAAATTCTCAAGCTCCGACTCGGGAGAATCATCAAGTGCTAGTTCTCAATCCAGCGAGACCGAAGAGCCAATCACTATGGCTCATGAGACAAGAACATTGAGGGAGCTCACGGCTCCGAATCTAGATCAACAACCTCTATGTATCACTTTTCCAACTCTTGATATGGGGGTTACATTTGAGCTAAAATCTGGGCTCATTCATCTCCTTCCAACATTCCATGGCTTACGAGGGGAGGATCCAAACAAACACCTGTCGGAGTTCCACATTGTGTGCACAAGCATGTGCCCCAATGGTGTCTCCGAGGAGCAGATCAAACTGAGAGCCTTCCCATTCTCCTTGAAGGACACCGCGAAGGATTGGCTTTTCTATCTTCCTTCGGGAAGTATCACTACATGGCCACAAATGAAGAAGGCCTTTCTTAACAGGTACTACCCCGCTTCTATTTCATCATCACTCAAGAAGCAAATAAGCAACATCGAACAAAAAGATGATGAATCCCTATATGAATATTGGGAGAGATTCAAGAAGCTATGTGCAAGTTGCCCCTATCACGGATACACCGAACAAGACCTCATCCTCTACTTCTATGATGGTCTTGTGGATCAAGATCGTCGCATGGTGAATGCGGCGTGTGGAGGGGGCATTGTCAACAAAACCCCTTCACAAGCGAGAGATCTCATCTCGGAGTTGGCCGAGAACTCCAGACACTATAACGGGCGGTCCTCAACTCGGAGGGTTATGGCAGCAGAATCCAACAACACGTTGGAAAGTCAAGTGAACGGCTTGACAAGTCAAGTGACCGGCTTGACTTCTTTGGTTAAGGATTTCCTTTTAAAATCCAAGGCCCAAGAAGTCAAGGTCTGCGGTATCTGTACACAACAAGGGCATCCCACGGACTCATGCCCAACTCTTCAAGAGGACACCACAGAGCAAGTCAACGCCTTGGGTTTCCAGGGCCACCAACAAAGGAGGTATGACCCGTTCTCAAATTCTTACAATCCCGGATTTAGGGATCATCCAAACTTGAGGTATGGAAACCCTCAACAAGCCAACCCACCTTCTCAATCGAGTATGTCTACGGAAGACATGATTCGAACTCTTGCCACTACCATGGGCACCTTACAACAAAACGTGGTGCAATTTCAACAAGAAACAAAGTCAAGCATTCAAAATTTGGAAACTCAAGTTAGCCAAATTTCGAATGCTGTAAATCGACTTGAAGCAAGAGATTCAGGTAGGCTTCCCTCCCAAACTGAGCAGAACCCAAGGCAACAAGTCAATGCCATCATGCTAAGGAGTAGCCCAGAATTTCAAGCAAAGGAAGTTGAAAACGAGGAGGTTGACCACAAGGAGGAGGAACCAACGAAGACAAAATTTCCTCCACTTTCATCATATGAACCAATCCCTCCATTCCCTGAGGCATTGAAAGACACAAGGAAGCTAGAGAGTGATCGGGACATCTATGAGACCTTCGCGAATTGTGAGGTAAATATCCCACTCTTTAAACTAATCAAAAGTGTTCCCCGTTATGCAAAGTTCTTAAAAGAACTATGTATAATGAAAAGAAGAGATAAATTAAAGGGGAAACAAAAGGTTGAAGTTAGTGAGCATGTCTCGGCCATCTTTCAGGAAAAACTTCCAAAAAAATGTAGCGACCCAGGCATGTTCACTATTCCTTGCACGATAGGAAACACCACATTTCCTAAGGCCTTATTAGATTTAGGGGCTTCTATAAACGTCATTCCTTATTCCGTTTATAAATCCCTACAACTTGGCCCACTACATCAAACCGGTGTGGTGATTCAACTAGCAGATCGTTCTAGTACCTACCCGAAAGGTGTATTAGAAGATGTGCTAGTAGAAGTAGAGAATATGGTTTTTCCCGTCGACTTCTACGTCCTCGAAATGGGGAATGATGACCAAACAACACCCATCCTTTTGGGAAGACCCTTCTTAAAAACCGCAAAAACAAAAATTGACGTGTCTAGTGGTTCATTAACTTTAGAGTTCAATGACCAAAAAGTAGAGTTCAATATCTTTGACTCTACGAAAAAACAAATTAAAGATCAATCTCTTTCTTCTTTATATGTTTTTGAACCACCAACACCAAATGTCTTAATTGAGTTGGGAACAAAGAAGAAGGGTCAGCCTTACTGGAAAAGGCTAAAGAAAAGAAATGACGGAAGGGATGCTCACGATCCCACATAAAATAAAAATAAAAACAAATAAAACGTCGTGCCACGACGTTAAATAAAGCGCTTCTTGGGAGGCAACCCATGCAAGGTATGTTTTCTTTTCAATTTTTTTGTCGAATGTCAACTTTTGGGAGAATGGGAGGAAATTCTCAAAAAGAAAATAAGGGAAAAATAATATTTTCAAGGCCTGGGGAAACCCCCAATCGGTCATCATCAGTTACCCGATCGGATCCATGCCGAAAAGAGGATTAAAATGGACCAAACAAAAATTCCAGGCTAATGTACCCGATCGAGTAACAGTCCTACTCGGTCGGGTATAGAGTAAAAAAAAAGGAAGAAGGGGGGTCGAGTACCCCATACTCGATCGGCCAAAAGAAATAAAATGCACGAATACCCGATCGGGTACACCTCATACTCGATCGGGTAATCGACCCCTGGAGCCAACTTTTAAAAATCCGCCAAATACCCGATCGAGTAAATTAATATACTCGATCGAGTATATTTCAAGAAAATCCTACGGCGGCCAAAATTCGATCGAGTATACCCCATACTCGACCGAATACACAAACCTGGAACCAAGTTTTTTTAAAAAGGGGTATACCCGATCGAGTAAATTAATATACTCGATCGAGT